AACAGGGAAGTACCGCCGTGTAATCCATTTATTTCAACAAAGTAACTGTATTCTAAATACCACCTTTTAAACGGTAACTGTAACGACCGTGTCCTTCAGAGTGTCCTGTAGGAGGTGCTTTGTGAGTATGGGGTGTCTGGCGTATTGCTTTGGGCCATTCGATCCTTATACAACCGTTGCAAGAGCTTGGTGCACATAGCTGGCAATAAGTCGGACTCATTCCCAGTGGGTGATGGACTCCGGCACAGCTGCCCTTTGTCACCGATTCTGTTCATAATTTTTATGGGCAGAATTTCTAGGTGTAGCCAAGTGGGGGAAGTCTTTCACTTGGGTGGTCTCAGAATCCCATCTCTGCTTTTCGCGGATGATGTGGTTCTGTTGGCTTCATCGGGTGATGGTTCGCACTGGAAAAATTCACAACTGAGTGTGAAGCAGGGGGAATGAGAATCAGCACCTCCAAATCTCAGCCGGAAAATGGTGGAGTGCCAACTCCGAGTTCCTTCCCCAAGTGGAGGAGTTTAAGTATCTCAGGGTCTTGTTCACGAGTGATGGCAGAAGGTAGCGGGAGATCGACCTTCGGATTGGTGCTACGGCTGAAGTGATGCGGACGCTGTACCGGTCCGTTGTGGTAAAGAGAGAGCTGAGTGTAAAAGCGATGCTCTCGATTTATCAGTCAATCTAAGTCCCTATCCTCATCTATGGTCACAAGCTGTCCGTAGTGACTGACAGATTGAGATAGCAGATACAAGTGTTGGGAATGGATTTCTTCCGAAGGTTCACTGGCCTCTCCCTTAGAGATAGGGTGGGAAGTTCAGCCATCCGGCAGGGGCTCAGAGTAGAGCCGCTGCTCCTCCACATTGAAAGGAGCCAGTTGAGGTGGTTCAGGCATCTGATAAGGATGCCTCCTGGGTGCCTCCTAGGTGAGGTGTTCCAGGCATATCCCACCGGGACACACTGGAGAGATTAAGAAACTACACAGTACTTAAAATTACTTTCTTTGTTTCCTAACTAACTTTTTACCCTCTTATTCTAGTGTAACTGCCTTTAAGTATTTGTAGGTAAATTTAACCACAGCGTAATTGGGAATTACGCCCTTAGTTGCGGGCGTTAAACATACTCACCATCTGGGTCACACAGAAGCAGTGTTTAAAGTTGTGGAAAGGGATGTTGTTGTATCTGCGATAGATTTCGAACAGAAACTGCTGCAAGACTTCGGGCTCGATGTTGAAGGTTGGTATAAAGTCTAAATCTGTGTACATGACTTGCAGGAGCACCATAATCTCTGCATCCTCCCACTGCCTGCACATCACCAGAAAAAAACAATCAATAGCCAACCAGTCAACATTTGTCCTTCCACTCGGATTTCCAGGCTAAATGTGTCCTGCCAATTTTTAGCTTTAAAAAAAAACCTTGAAGGGTGAAAGGTTTTCTAATGGACACACAGATAATGTAAAAGACACAAATTTCCCATTGCTACGAAGTCCAAGAATGGATCTTTCAGCACATCTTTCAAGACAAGATTTTGAGGAAAGACAAGCAGACAATAATTATTCAACACAGAAATGCAGAAGCTGTGGAGTCAGCTGAAGTGTTGAGGAAGGAAAGAGGACAATTATTGAACCACATTTAGACATATTTAACCCTCTGATGCCAAAGTTGGAATAGTGCGGACCATAACCATCTGTCATGAAATTCTTTTGTTTAAAAAAAAGGTGAAAGTCTTGGAAATCCAGAAAGAAAAAAAAATGTTATTTTGACTGACACAAACAAAAAAAATATTCTAGTGCTGTCAGCGTTAATCTCGCTAAAATGAAATTAACGCCATAACCACATTAACGCGGCAGATCTCCGTTAGCGAGTTCACCCCGTGCGTGTGGCTGCACAGCTCATTAATGCTCGCTAACGCGTTAGCGCCGTCCAGCCACACTCATCAGGGTGATCTGCGACAACTCGCTAACAGAGATTTGCCGCGATTAACGCTGATAGCACTAAAATATTCATAAAAACATCAGTTTTCACTATATTTCTCCAAAATTTAGTGCAGGTATAGCGTTACCACCTTTCTGTTTGCTGGGACCCTGTTCCCACATTTGTTTATCTATCTACTGAACATCTACTTTTGCATTTTTGCTTAAAACCCATGTGTTTTTTCTTTTCAAACACATGTTGGACTGTACTCTGTGTTCACAAGGAGTGGTTGCACTCCTGTGTTGAGGAACATACAAACACACTGATGGTTTTAGTCTTTTCAGTAAATTTGTTTACAGCAGCAAGAGTGCAGGATCACGTCAGAATTATTCCTGATAATACCGCACTGGCCAACTTGCAAAAAGCACATTTTATCAGGTGTTTAGAGGAATCCTGTATTTTAGCTCCAAGCTTTAGGTGTGTAGGTTGAAGATAACCGCATCGATGCTCCTCTATTGCTGCAGGTTTGCTTTAAAAGCTTTTGGACAAATGAAAAGATAACCGAACCTTAGTGAATGCATGGCGCTCACTTCAAACGCCGTGTGCATATTAAGGCTTTTATAAAGACCTTCTTTTAATTAGCGAGCCCTCATCCAGGCCTATTCATATTGAGATGAGTGTGCGGATCAGAAGGAAAGGCTGAGGGCTTCCATCCTCTTCAGAAACACATGAGATGTGTTTGCTGGGCACGACTGTCATTAGCTGACCGCCTGCCTCACTGTCCACGGAGGAAACAGGTGCGCTCGTTTATTTAGGATCACAAAGACGCATCAAGGTGATGAACACAGATTCAGCAGGTGACATTAAAAGCAATTGGATTCATGCATTTTAAAGCAAAACTTACCAGTTATCAAAGGTTGGCGTCTTCAGGTACTGCCTCACTTCCTCAGATACCTCCAAAGAGCTGCAAAGACGGTGGCATGAGGAGTAAGAATAGCAAATTATTCCAAACATTTTAGTGTGAATTTTTACAAACCTCATTTGCAGGAACTTTTCCCGCACATGTTCACACTCTTCCCTGGTTTTACGCAGCGTCCTTTTGTGGTAGAACGGTGAGGGCTTGTGGGTTCCCTCCGAGAGATCTTTGAACAGCCCCAGCCAGCTTAGATGCTCCACACTCTGAAGACAAATGGCAAGCAGCACTGAACACAAACCTACTGGAGCTCACACTACAAATTATTACTGACTTCTTCCTAAATGATTATTTCCCCAGCCCTGCTGCACTGTGACATCTAATCATAGGGTTCCCCCACCTGCCAAACCCACTTTATCCCCATGTTTGTCTCTAAGTTTTGAATTTAAAAAAACTTCTGGTATTTTTGTTCAGTTATTTGAGGTGGAACAAGCTTAAACAACACAACACTGGATGTGGGAAACTTTGCTGGGATACCTCCAGTTTCTCTCTGAATGAATCCACCTGCTTCTTCATCTCATACACAACTGCAGGCGTCTCACCAGCCTCGATGAGGATTTTCTTCTCCAGGCCCTGCAGTCTGGGATCAGTGAAGCAACCATTCATGAACTTTTCAGCTGTATGTGTCATGGCTCAGATTCTGGTCTTTAATGCCTGATATGAGACTTTAAAAAGCACACTGATGGTAAAATACCTAAGAGATCTTTATGCATGTTCTCTCCTTTGTTACCCGGCCTGCCCCACCTACCTTTTTTCCATGGATGACAGGTCAAATCCTAGTGCACCAGCAAGCTCGGCACCTGAAATGACGTAAAAAGATGGAGACCGTCAACAGTTTCCATGTGAACTAGATCACTGCCATTCCCACGATGCCTAATTAAAGATACCTAACAGCTCACTGTTACAGTCGGCAGCCACCACCTCCAGCTTGTAGCACAGGTTGGGGCTGTTGGGTTCAAGGCTCGGGGAAATGTTGATGATGTTGCCTTTAGGGTTATACAGTTTCAGGATGTCATGGGGTCCGGCCTCGGCGGCAGAGCGGAACAGATCTAGAAAGACCAGCTTGAGGTTTATTTTATAGAATCACTTGAGGAAGTCCAGGAATTGTTATTCAAATGAACAGACATATATAACCACGTCCACATTACTAACCAACTTTGATATGAATCATTTAATTTAGACTTCGATTTTTTGTCTATTCTGAGCTATTTTGAAAATTTTCTTACATTTTGTTTTCTTTAGGTTATTGATATAATTTCCGTGCTAACACTTAACACATAATATTTGTAAAGTGCTCAGTATCTAAACAACCCATTATCGTCAAACAACTATAACAACCAGCAACACCAACAGTCACCAACAACAATCCACAACCAGCAACAATCAGCAACCACCAATAACAACAATCAGCAACAACAACCAACTATAACAACCAGCAACAACAAAAACCAACATCAACAAACAATAACAAGTTTATCAGAAAAAAGTAAAATGTACTTAAGAGGGGTGATTTACACAAATTTGGTTAGTGTGGTTGTGCTATACTCATACTTGGATATTCAATATGAACTTCTATAATCATACAATGTATATTAAACTAAAAGAGCTCTATTATTTATATTTATAGCACTTCATCTAATATTAGTTTAGAAATGTTTTAATATACCCAGTTCTCAGAGAATTACAGTACTTAGAAAGCTGAGGGGGTTTTGCCTTAATGTGCCCCATACACCGTAGTGTCTCAGAAACACGAGCAGCCTCGAACATGATTGGGAGGCATTAGGCACTGCAGGAGTCTCTATTATAATTATCGGTCACAAACGCTGAAAAACACACATCACGCATGTAAAGTTTTCTATAAATGACTGCACTGAAATATTAACCAAAAAAAGATGTAAAGGTAAACATTTTTGCCAATGCCTCGATTCTGAGCTTCCCACTGCAGAACTGTTTAGAAAAATCAAGCACAAATTAAGTGGAACGAGTGTCTACAAATATGCAGGTACAACGTTCAGGTAATTCAATACAGGAAAGTAAACTTCAAAAACTAGTACAATAGAAGTTAAATGCAGTCATCTAAATTAAGTAAGAACACTGCTTGCAGTTACAGCACTGTTCTAATGAGTAAAATCTGCGGTATGTAATGTGCGTGGAGACCATGATGCCAAAGGCTGAAGCTGCTGTGGGAGGTGAGGAGCTGTCAGTGGCAGCTGTATTTGCAGCAAAGACTGCTTTGTCTTATGTTGATCCATTTATCAAATTTGCTTTATTGATTTTAGTCACAAAAGAGTATTTCCTGAACTCTAAGCATAAGAATATTCCACTTTAATTCATTTGTCCAAAACAACACGTTAGAATGCATTTGATCATATGAAACATAAACTCTTACCTTTGACGTCCTGAGCCGGACAGTCGACCGGGAACTCCGCCTGCTCCGGTCTCCCGTTCACCGTGAAGTAGATTATTTTTGTTTCCATGTCATGAATCTAAACCCGCTGATGCTGCTGTGTGCACTGCTGATCTGGCTCTGATGTCTATCTCCTCTTATTATCCTAATGATAATCACTCCACCCCCTCTCCACCTCCTCCTAAGCTCCTCCCCTGCCTTTGGACTGCAACATTTCTCAGAGCAATTTAGATTTTTATAACAATTACAAAGGTTATGAGGGTGCTTTTAAAAAAACAATTACAGTAGTGGTTCTCAAATTGTGGGTGACAAATTAAGGGCACAGAGGTGAACATGGTGTTGATTTTTAATCCAAATATAATTACAGTTCAACAAGAAAGAGAGAATGGTCTTTATAGAGTCAAACTGAGAATAAGATAACCAATCAGAGTGTTTTTGGCTGATTTTTAAGTGCTGTAGTGAACCTGCTGTTTAGTGTACATTGTTGTTTTTTAACTCAAAGGGTCAAATTGAACTCGACCTCAGAGTGAGTTACAGTTTCTCTGGAGACAACACTTTTAAATCTGACTGAAGTAATATAAAGCTTACATGTGATCAAATATCAGCTTTTTGCGGCTCATTTGTTTGGGCACATGTTCAGCCTTTACAGGGTTCCCCTGTGTTGTGATGCTGTGTACATACAGTAGTAGGCACATTACTATGAAAGAGGATTAGGACCATGTTAAGAATTTTATAGGATGTACAATTCAATTCAATTCAATTCAATTCAATTTTATTTATATAGCGCCAAATCACAACAAATGTCGCCTCAAGGCGCTTCATGTACAGGAGCCATTGTTGTTGTTTGGTTCAAACAACAACCACAATCTCTACATTTAGACTTTTTTCCCTCAAAATACTAATTAAATTTAATGTCGAAATTTCAACTTTAATCCTAAAATGGCCATTTTATTTCTAAATGTGAAAACTTTTATATGTGTTTTTTTTTGTTTGTTGTTTAAAATTTGACTTTTATATATTTTTAGTTCATATTTTTGTACTTTTGCTTTTATTCTCCACAGTTTTAAGTTTTCTTTCATTTTAATTTTTTATATATTTCATTTTTCTGTATTTATTTATTGCATTTGTTTTCAAATGTATTCATTTTTTTCCCCCAGTTTTTGCACAAATGTGTTTTTCTTTCCTTGAAATATTTATCTTTTTTGTAATTTAAACATTAAGACTTTGTACCAAAATGTATGAAATCTTATAAAATAAAATATGATGCCTGCACAATGACTTTTTTCAGTTTTACACATTTTTATATTTCAATTCAAGATGTTTCTTATGAATAGAAATGTACAGGTTCTCAAACTTAAGTAAAGATGCGCACAGCCAGGTGAGACATATGAAGTGATAATCACATAAGAAAATGAGATGTTGATTTCCCTTAAATATAGCTGATACTAC